TTTTTCCCACTTCAATTATTCAGATCAGGAAAGTTCCTCATGGGAGCATTGCTTCTATTCAGGTTGACAACCAAGATTAGCCCTTGCACTCTCAAAGTCAGTGTGGTTAGCTATAGTGAGAACTCCCTATCTGTCAATGTGGAATACCTTTTGCCACTCAGGATACTGTGATGAAGGATGCCTGTAGTAAGGAGGCCTCTTGTTGATTCCTGGCTGCTTAGCCCTGAAATAATCACACAGAAACTGTATTACTTAAGTCACTGCTTGGCCCATTAGCTCTAGCTTCTTATTGGCTAACTCTTACATCTTAATTTAACCTATCTCTGTTAATCTATAAATCACCATGAGGTCATGGCCTACCAGCAAAGTTTCAGTACATTTGTCTCTGCTGGCGGCTCCATGGCTTCTCTCTGACTCCATTCTTCTTTTTTCCAGCATTCAGTTTAGTTTTCCCTGCCTAGCTATGTTCCCCTATAGTTCTGCTATAGGCCCAAAACAGTTCCTTTATTCATTAATGGTAATCATAGCATACAGAGGGAAATCCCATATCACCTCCCCTTTTCTTTTTAAATAAAAAGGAAGGTTTTAACTTCAACATAGCAAAATTACATATAACAAAACAAGTATCAAACAAGAATTGTAGTTACAATATTTATATCTACTTTATCTTTTATCATAACTAAGGAAGACTATAACTATCAATTCTTCAACTCTCTATCAAAGACTCCAGAAGGATATAATATCACAGAAGTAAACAGGAAGTACATTGTAAGCAACTTCCAAAACTCTAGGAATGACAGTGACATCCCACTACCTGGACAGTCACCCAAGGTTCTTGTGTACCATTGGGGCATCCATCTTCAGCCTATAGGCCCATAGTATCTGGCAGACTTTCCCATGAAGCAGGAAATTTCAAAGACATGTCTACCTATATTGGAAGTTTGTCAGTCACTTTCTTCTGTGTCCTGCAGAATGTCTGGCAGACTCTTTTATGAAGCAGGAACCCCAAAAGACCATCTTACCTTTAGGCAAGTTCAATAGTCATTTCTCTGCAGGTCCTGCATGCCCAATCCATCAAGCAGTCCAGGCAAGAGCAGTTTCTTGCCTAAATGGCTCACCAACTCCGTAAGGAGCCTCTTCAGTGCCCATCTTCCTCTTGAAGTAGACTGGTGCTGCCAGGAGCAGATGTGTCTCATTGTCATGAAAAGTTCTAAGTTCTTAAAACATTTTAAATGCCCTATTCTGTAGTCTTTGAAAGGCTTGAAGATTATCTAATTGAAATATATCTCTATATATCTAGAAAACCTAACACGACTACAAGCTTGACTATTATAGATGATTATCTATTAACCTATATTTCTTAATTATACATTACATTTTTAAATGAGCTGCACAAACATAATACCTTAATCAAGATCAGAAATACATATACACAGTATAACAAAATTGAACTTAAATTTGTATCAATAAATCACTGCTTGGCCCATTAGCTCTAGCTTCTTTTTGGCTAACTCTTACATCTTAATTTAACCCATTTCCATTAATCTATGTCTTGGCCTACCAGCAAAGTTTCAGCACATCTGTCTCCTTGGCTTTTCTCTGACTCCACCCTTCTTTTTCCCAGCATTCAGTTTAGTTTTCGCTGCCTAGCTCTGTTCCCCTATAGCTCTGCTATAGGTCCAAAGAAGTTTCTTTATTCATTAATGGTAATCACATCATACACAGGGAAATTCCACATTAAATGCCATCAACTTTAGTTCTTTTCTTTACCCTTAAACTAGAATCAGGGTCCCAAATAATATTTTCTTCAAAGTGTACTCAGCCTTGCTTGGCAGTGGTGACACATGCCTTTAGTCCCAGCACTTTGGAGGCAGAGGTAGGCAGATCTCTCTGAGTTTGAAGCAAACCTGATCTTCATAGAGAGGTCCAGGAAAGCCAGGGCATTGAGACCTTGTCTCAAAAAAAAAAGCATTTAGTCTGTGGTTATGATGTTATTAGCAATGGAAAGAAGACAGAGTAATAAAAGATACACTATTGTTGGGTGGTTGCAATGCACACTTTTAATCCCAGCACCCAACACTTGGGAGGCAGAGACGGGTGGATCTCTGTGAGTTCAAGGTCAACCTGGTCTACAAAGTGAGTTCCAGGCTATTACACAGAGAAACCCTGCCTTCAAAAACAAAAACAAAACAACAACAAAAAATACACTAACTTGGTGTGGGATATTTGTACACTGTGTGAAGATGTATTTTCAATGTGTGGTAGTTTGAACAGTTCAAATGTAATTGGTCCACATAATTCCATAATCTCATAAGGAGTGTCATTGTTAGAAGGTGTGACTTTGTTGGAGTGGGTATGGCCTTGCTGGAGGAAGAGTGTCACTTTGGGGTAGGCTTTGGGGTTTCATAGACTCAGGATACTGCCCAGTGTGTCGGTCGACTTCCTATTGCCTCTGATTCAAGATGTAAGAACTCTCAGCTCCAGCACCACATCTGCCTGCATGCCGCCATGCTCCTCGTCATGATGGACTGAATCTCTGAACTGTAAGTGAGCCACCACAATGAAATATTTTCTATTTAAGAGTTGCCATGGTGTAGTAATATGAGCAGCGGGGCTGCGTCCCCAGCACCCCGGCTGCCTTGCTAGCTTATACCCCGGAATAATTACACAGACACTGTATTCTTCTAAACACTGCTTGGCCCATTTCTATCTAGCCTCTTCTAGGCTAATTCTCACATATTAATTTATCCCATTTCTAATCATCTGTGTTGCACCCCAAGGTGCGCTTACTGGGAAGATTCTAGCCTACGTCCATCCTGGGTTGGAGCTGAATCGCATCTCTCTGGGAGAGAGGAGCATGGCGTCTCTGTCTGAGGCATCTTATCTCACTTCCTCTTCCTCCCAGCATTCTGTTCTGTTTACTCCACCCACCTATGTTCTAAGCTATGAGCCCAAGCAGTTTGTTTATTACTTAACCAATGAAATCAACAGATTGATATATGACACTCCCACATCACCATGGTCTTGGTGTCTCTTCATAGCAATAGTAAACCCTAACTAAGACACTGATGGGTGTAATAGAAAGCTGACTGGCCAATGGCTAGATAGGAGGTATAGGCGGGACTTCGGGGCAGAGAGATCAATCTAGGCTCCTGAGAGACACCAGGAGACATGGAAGAAGCAGGATAGGCGATGCGTGACAGAACATAGGTGAATAGAAATGTTCTAATTTAAGTTATTAGAGGTAGTTAAAGCCAAGCTTTCATAATGAATAATGAGTCTCTATGTCATTATTTGGATGCTAACTGATGGGACAGAAAGAGACTCACTACAAACTGTGCCCACAGCCGAGTGGTGGTGGCACACGCCTTTAATCCCAGCACTTGGGAAGCAGAGGCAGGTGGATCTCTGTGAGTTTGAGGCCAGCTTGGTATGTTTTCCAGCCTCTCTTGGAACTAGGGGTGACTATGGGAATAAATTCTGACCAGTAGGTGCAGAATTGATGGTTGGTATGTTAGGATGTGTCCCTGTGGGTAATCAGCTGGTTCTTTCTTGCGGACTAAACTTTGGATGTCATGATTGGGTCTAGAGCAAGCCACTTTGTGTCATTTAGATAGATAGATGCCTGGAACCAGGGAACCTAAGATATCTGGAGACCCTGATGGTCATTCCAAGCTAGCTGAATCTCCAGCCTTGCTTTCCATAAAGTCCCAGTTACAAAGTTTTGGGGGGTGGGATTTTCTTTATACACACCTCAACAGCCTGAGCCTGTGTGGCACACAGAAGGAACCTGTTTGACCTCTGGGTGGAGTAAGAACAAGAGACTCAGGAGCCAGAGGCAGCCAGAAGGGCGCCCCCTACCCCTACCCCCAATGGAGCCTGCAGGCTCCTCCTCCTGGGTGTTTCCTTCTGAGGATGGAGTCCTGGATGTGCAGTTCCCTATCCCTCAGGCCGTTGAGAAGTTCTGTGTTCTCCAAGAGGTACCGCTATGCTCAGTATCTCCCTTTCCTTCCAGAATGGTCCAGACTAGCCCCTGGCAGGTCCAGGACGAGGTAGAGCCATACTCAACTTTTCTTCTTGGGAAGGGGTGTCCTCTTGTCCTTGTTTCCTCAGGAGGGTTAGGTGAACCCTCTGGGCTTGCCTGGTCATGAGTTGAATTCAACCCACCCGTCCTGTAGGCACGGGCAAAGGCAGGGAAAAAGACAGACACGAGTCTGCACAAAGCAGGAAGACAGTGATGTGCACACGGAATGCCAGTCAGGACGCTCACCAGCCCACCTGCGCAATGGGTATAGTAAGTAGGCCCAGAGGCTGCAAAGGCCAGGCAGGGAACATTCGGAAAGTTCTAGAAAGACAGACCTCCAGCCTCAATTCTCTCCATCCTGCAATTTCTAAAGTTTCCAGATAGAAGGGAACCCGAGGACCCTGCTTGGATCTTCTCCCAATCCCCACAGCCTTGACTCCCAGGCCTGCCCATAAGGCTGCGCTTGGGATGAGGAGGGGACTGGGGTTAGTAGGTGGCTCCACTCGGTGGATCTTTCTTTCCCAGTCGCTAGCAGCCAGTGGGATACTCTTTCCAGGAGAAATCTGGTACACATAGTGACCTTGTACCAATCCTACACTTTTTCCAGCCTCAGTTTCCTTTCCGAAACACCGACTTGGTGGGGGCGTGGCTTTCCTTAGTTGAGGGGGAGCCTGCAAGAGATGGGGTGCGGGGGTGGGAGGCGGGCCCCACTGGTCGCAGAGAGCTGCCCAGGCGCAAGCACCGCGGGCGCTCAGAGCTGGTGGCTCTGCTCCTGCGGTTCCTAAACCTGAGTGGTGCCTGCAGGGAGCGCAGCGGCAGGCACCTCCTGGCCCGGGACATTGGTGGCTTGTCTGGCCCCCCGGCCTGCAGAGACCCGGGCGGAAGACGTCTGGGACCCCGCCCGGTCCCTCCCGCGGGCAGGCGGGGCGGCCCCACATCGGACTCCTCCCCCGCAGCCGGGCAGGGATCAGTCGCGGCGCGCGGTTCCGCAGGTGGCAGCTATGGTCCAGTCCTGAGCGCCCCGCCATGGCCGGCGCCCCCAGCCTACTGCGCCTGGCGCTCCTGCTGCTCGGGGCGGTGGGCAGGGCCGGTCCCCGCCCCCAGGTGAGCCCCCGGGACCCCGGCGACAAACGGGAGGGCGATGCTGCGGTGTTCTGCGGGCGCTGGGGCTAGCGGAGGGGCCCTTGGACTTGAGCGAAACTCCAGGACCCCAGACAGGGGAAGTGCAAGGTTGAAGGGAGAAAGGGACTGAGGAGTTGGGAGGCCCAGGTGGGGAATGGAGACCAGGTGACTACGCTCGTCCTGACAAGATGCCCCACTTCTCGGCCACAGCTCCTCTGCCAGGGCACCAGCTGCCCCACGGTTGCCTTACTCTGACTTCTGCGACGCATCTTTGTCCTTCTTAACCACTTTTCCAACTCCTTTTTCCAAAACCTACCGGCCCTCTGCCTTCCTTCTGTACCCAGGCCCCCTGTGGTGCCTCCCCCTACACTCGGGTTCTCTGTTCTCTTGTGTGTGTGTGTGGGGGGGGGGGGGGGGTTGCCCAGGAATCTCTGGAGGGCTGAAAAGGCCTGGTTGTGGAAATCTAGCTCCTTCCCCCCATTCTTGACCCCTCGTTACAGTCTTTGACTCATAGCCCCAGGGACCCTGCCAGTGGCAGCTTGTTGTCCTTCCTGATGACCTCCCAGGTGGCACTGGATTGCCACCCCCACCTCAGCCTCTGCAGCAAGCATGCAGCAGGTTCCCTGTGCCTTCCGAGTCACCCAGGCTCCACTAACACCCATTCCAGGCCTCCTTTGATTAATAACCCACCAGAAAGCATACTGGGACGCATAGGAACATCCTACCTCCTTGATGTCCCCAAAGAATAGGTTGCAGTTGGACTCTTGAGGACTCTTCTCGGGCTCTTTCTCTGTCCTGTCTGTTCGTCCTGCCCCAGGCCCTTGCCCTGCCTGGGCGTGATGGTCAGCTGCTTGAGGGGAGGGTGGTTGTTCAGAAGTGCCAGGACACCCCGGAGCAGAAGAGGGCCAGGCCTGTGCAGTGTCCTGTATAATGAATACTTTGCCCATCATCTGTGTCCACAGCCAAACCTAAAGGACTGAAACCTTTAGGGAGTGGGTCATAGGCTTGAACTTGGTCTGAAACAGGAGAGGGGCAAACTTTACCTTGGCTGAGAATCCAGTTGTGAGCAGATGTGCCTTCCCAGGAAGATGCCAGCACTGTTTCAGCCCTCAAGTCCCTTTCCAGCTGAATCCTCTCCCTTCTTCCCCCTGTTCTCCAGGGCCAGCTGATCCCAAGAGACACCTTCCCCAGGCCCTGGCACCGTCCTCACGGTTCCCCCACAGGCCATGGCTTTCCTGGTGACATTGGGATCTTTCCAGTGCCACAACTGCAGATCCACTGCTGAGTTCCCTCTTGGGAGCCTGGAAAGTGGGGGAGCAGGGAGCTTCCTGCTCCAAGGCTGCTGCAGGCCAAGTTTGAAGATCAGATTGGGGATAAAGGAGCAGAGAGGGCCAAACTTGGGGCCTGCCCATCTTCTCCCCTAAACCCTCTTGCCCAGAAGTGTTAGGCTCCCTGAACCTCCTTACATCGTGTTACTTTGCAGCCCTGGTTCATAGCAGCACCTGGGTGGCAGAAAAATCAGGCAGCCAGCGAAGAGGCATGCTGGTGCTTTGGATGGGGCGCCCTTGCTATGGGGGCACTGACATCTCCCACTGCAGCAGAGGGCCGGGGTGGCAGGCTGCTTTGAGGTTAGATTGCAATCATTCCAACACGACCTCATGAACACACAGGAGACTTGAAAGGAAACCTTGTGGTTTACTTTCTGTCGGTGAGGTCAGCAAGATTAGAATGTCTCCCTTCATGTCATTCATGGCGAGGTGAGTGCTTAGAAACAGGGTTCCCTAGGCGATATGGTCCAGCAGCTTAGGAACAGGGAAACAAAGCTTATAGGCCCCAGCTCTGGGCTCACACCTTCCTCCTGGGGGCGGGGGGGGGGCAGGAAGGATGAGGGAGCAGGTCTGGCGAGGCCAGAAGTTACACTTCCTTGTAAGATGAGGGATGGCTGACCTGAGTTCTGAAAAATGTGACCTGGGCTACTTGAGCATGGTTTCTAGGAAGGACCACTCTTCTTCCTTGTTCCTTTCTACCCAGGGACCCTCCACAGGGGAGCTGGGCTACTGAAAAGATGGGCAGAACTTTGACACTTGAAGTTCCAACCAGATGCAGCTGGGTTCTGGTGTCAGCCCTAATCTTAGCTCTTCAGCAGGACCCTTGATGATCCCAAACCCCAGTTTTCTTATCGGCAAGACAGGGACCGCAGGATCTTTTATTGGGGGGATGGAGGGACACGAGGGGAGTAAAGCATTGAAATGGCAGCTTGAGGCCTCTGGGAGAGCTGTCTGTTGGAACCTGGCCTTTCCCCAGGCTGGAGAAATAGAGCCTGGAGCAGGATTGTTGGAAGCCCCTGGCCTCTGCACTCCAGCAAAGGGGAGTGGAGGCTGAGGCTAAGGCTTGACCTGAGTGGACTTTGTCCCTGGTTGGGCTTCCTTCCAGACAGGGACCCGGCATAGGGCCGGCCAGGAGCAGCCATGAAACCACAACACATCCTGTCCTCCAGTGCCTGGTCTGAGGAAAAGCAGGTCCTTCATTTACTGCACCTGTCCTTTGGTGAATTTCTGTGTGTGTGTGTATGTGTGTGTGTGTGTGTGTGTGTGAGAGAGAGAGAGAGAGAGAGAGAAACAGAGAGAGAGAGAGACAGAGAGAGACAGAGAGAGAGAGAGACAGAGAGAGAGACAGAGAGACAGAGATGCATATGAGGAAGAGATAGATTGGGAGATAGGTATGCAAGGTGTACAAGCCCGTTTTTCAGTGTGTTTGTTCGGGACAGCCTGGATGAGAGTCACCATATATACAGTAACACATCAGCATATAGTCACATGTCCGCGAGAGGGGGGAGGGTATTCTGCCTGTTATACTGTGCTTTGGGGAGGGTATGGGATTGCTAAGCCAGCCTGATGAATGAGTGGGATCTTCTGATGTGTGTCCATGTAGGAGAGAGGTACTGTGCTTGTGCCAGTGTTTATGTGTGTGATTGCGTGGGTCAGGTGTGTGTGCATGTGTGTTGGTCAGTGTTTCAGCATGTGCCTATGCGCCTGGAAGTCTGTGTGTGATGTTGTGGGAATAGAAGACTCCATGTCGGGGTCTCAGCACTGGGAACGTCCCTGAGGGTTTGTGGGGTATTGGCGTGTGACAGTGTATCTCTGAGAAGGTACCTGAGTCTGAGAGACGATGCCTGCAGCTTGCCTTGTTCTGCCGCTTTCCTCAGCTACCTCAGGAAGGACCTTAAGGAAACAAAACATGGACACAAAAATTCAGGGCTCAGCAAATGGAAGCGTGATCTAGGCTCTGAGAGGGACCAGAAGAAAAGTGTGCCATCCCAGGAGGAAATGGCAGAGAATCTGCAGGGCTAAACCTTGGGGGCGTTAGCTCTCTTTGCTCCTTCTGAGGGCCCCAACTCTCTCCTTCCTCTTCAGTGGTCAGGTGAGACTGAGCCCTCTTTTCTCCTACACCTCAACCCAAATGGTTCCCAGCAAAGGAGAAGCCCTGGTGCACACGCTCATGCTGAGCCTGCGGCGTTGAGGCGGGTGCCCTGTGCCAGGGTGCAGGCTGTGGACAGAGCAGATGGCAAGCACCGTCTGCAGGCTCTGAGCTCCTTGGTGTTCCGTTCTGTATCTCTTGCTACTTCTCCTAGGGACGCCCCCTCCTGACTGTCCCTTCCACCTGGGCATCAGTCCACCTTTTTTTTCAAGTACTCCAAAAGTGCTGGTCCTTGGAAATACTAGCATGTCCTGACCCCTGAGGCTCCCGACCTGTTGTCCTAACCAGCGTCCCTGCCCTGGGACAGCCATGTTAGTTTCTCCCTTCTAGGAATTTATTGAATTTAGAAGGAAAACCCCCAGATTCAGGAAGCCAGGTTTGGGGTTCCCGCCTGTCTTCTACACCCTGGAATCCTCAGGACCAGCCTCTTCCATGTGCCAGGGGCCATTGTTAACAGCAGCTTAGCTGTCACGGCCCTTGACACATGGACTCTTGTTGCTCCTTTTCACACAAGCAAGCTGAGGCTAGAAGCTTAAATATGTGCAGGGTCACAGACCTGAATAATGGGAGAGCTGGAGGACTCCCAAACTAGAGCTACTCACTGTCCACTGTCCTCTTTGTCTCCTGGGCTCCAGGGCCTGTTGCACCCAGTAGCTCCAGACTCAACCAGGCTTATCCCAGATCCTATCTCGACTACCATTCTCTTTGCCCAGGAATTGCCCTGGTCATCTCTGTGGGCGGGACTCTCAGGACAGGGTCTGCCTACCATCTTCTCTATACACCATCATCTACAATGGACACTCTATGACTTCGGGGGGCGTTGCACGAGTAATAAAAGTTCAGATACAGATGTTGACATTCAACCTGAAAACCAGAAAAGCAAAGCAGCCAGCCACTGACTCATACCTCGATTTCAGTCTTAAAATGGCGATCCTGCCTCCAGGAATCTCAGAATGAGACTGAGAGCTGTCTCCTCCTGTTTTGTAATCCTATCTAGTTCTGGGATTAAGGGCATGCATCACTACTGCCTGGTTTCTATAGCAAACTAGTGTGGCTACTGGGATTAAAAATGTGTCTTATCACTACCTGGTCATTACTTGGTCTCTAAGTCTGGCCAGTATAGTATGGCTGTTTTACTTTTCTGATCTTCAGGCAAGCTTTATTTATTAAAATACAAATGAAATGCCACTATGGGGGCAGGGGGAGGTGAATCAAAGTCCTGTCCTAACAGAGCCCCGGTCTAAAGTGAAGTTTCATGTCTTCCCTCCGCTCCTAGTCATTGTCCAAGTCAAAGCCTCTTTGCAGGTCTCATGGCGGCTGCCCATCAAGGTCCTGTTTCCAGCTGCCAGCCCTTCCTCTCCACTGGGAGATCCTGGTTCCTTGGGTCTCCTCTCACTCCCTGGTTAGGCACACCTGCTGCCCCAGTTCCCAGCAATGACCCTGCTTTCTGCCACTTCTACTAAGAGCAGACATTGTGGGATTCCTCCCCTTGTTGCCTGCCCTCACCTCAAGGCGCCACTGCCTTGAGGACAATGAGAACAGAGGAGGAGGGAAATAGGAAAGGCCGTGGGGGAGGTGGCCCCAGTCCACCGTGATTTAGTCCGATCACTCTGCCACCCCTCAGCAGTGGCTTCAGTCACAAACCACCTTTGCTGTTGGCACATTCAATTTCCTTTTTTCTTTTCTTTTCTCCAAACAAATGCTGCTGACCTTTGCTCCTAGAAGAGCATGTCCATCAGGGCAGGATCACCAGCACACTTCCCCCAGAGATGCTGGTGGCATTCAGAGCAAGCTTGACCTCCTCCTGTTTCTGGAACTTTCCGTGTCACTAGGAACAAGCACATGTCACTGTGTGTTGTTTTGTGGTGATGTCATAGGAACTAGGACTCTGCTCAAACCAGGGCAAGCTCACCCAGACATCTGATCTGTTGTGTGTGTGTCGGGGGTGGAGGGTGTGGGGGTGGAGGTGCACTGGAGTTTTGGGGGTCAGGCACCTGAAAATCAGCCATTTCATGTCAGCACCTGTGTGCATATCTTGTGGTTTCAGAAAGTGAACTTCTGGGCTGGAGAGAAGGCTCATTGGGTGTTTCCCGGCAAGTCTGACAATGAGTTTGGTCCCCAGAATCCCACATGGTTGGAAGGAGAGAACCAACTCCCACTGGCTGCCCTCTGACCCCCACATTCACGATGCACACGTGTGTTCTTTGTGTGCACCCATACACATGCGTGCACTCATATGCAAATTTAATTGTGTATAAATCCTAGCTTTAATGCAAGGGGCTTTTTGTTCATCTTGACATCTATCACTTCTAAATGGGTAATATTTATAATCTGTAAGGCTAATTGTGAAAAAAATTAAAAGGCACTTCAGCTCAAGGCTGGCTAAAAGGGACAGCCAGAAATATGCGGGGGGTGGGGAGGCGTGCTCAGTGGAGAGGGTCTGTTGGAGCTCAAAAACCAGTGCTGTTGAACTTATTTAGGTTCTATCCCTCTGTTGCAGGCAGGAGGACATCTCCCAGTGCAGGCACAACTTCAGGGTTCTGGACCTTTCTGTCTCCACCCTTCCCTTAGCACCCCTTATCCTCCTGAGGCTTAGAAGCCAGGCTGCACATCAGATCTGCATCGTGTTAGACTCTGGGGTATGGGAGGGTCTGTGGCCCTCCTATGGCCGGCCGCCGTTAAGTCTGGCAGGGGGAGTGGGTGATAATTTTGTCTCTTTATAAGTCCTCAGAGTGATTACATCCTGCGTCCTCGGGTGTCCTACATCCCTGGGTGTTGCAGGTTAGCCACTGAGCTAGGTGGCTCTGTGTACCAGCCTTAGCTCTGCTTCCCGAGATGCTGTGTGCTTTTGATGGAGTCTTTTCTTGACTCTCCTGGAATGGTCGGAAGCAAGACAGCTCCTGCATGACCAAACATCACGAGAGGAGGAGCCCCGGGCTATGATGCAGCCCCGTCCCTCAGGAAGTCTCTCCTTGCTGAGGGTAGATGAAGGGCAGATGGGACCACGAATGAGTCACAGTCTCCCTCTGCCCTGTCCTTCACCCCACCTCCTTAAGAATTGATCCTTTAGACACTTGCTGGGGACTTCTACACGTCAGCCTTGCACGGTCCCCTGGGTCCTCAAAGTGGCAGTCACCGGTGGGCTTCGGTCCCCTGGAGATTAAGAAGCCAAGAGACTGGGAGGAGGTAACTAGGACTGGAAGGGGCTGCTGGAGCCACGGGGCCTCCATTTCTGCTTCTCCTCTTAGGGCGCCACTGTGTCCCTCTCGGAGACAGTGCAGAAATGGCGGGAGTACCGACGCCAGTGCCAGCGATTCCTCACTGAAGCACCACCTCTGGCCACAGGTGAGTCCGGGCGAGCCCTCACGCCTGTACCCTGCACTCCGTACAGCTCCGGGCACGCTTTGATGATCAAGTCCATAGCTGGTGTCCCTTGTCTCTCTCTAATGCGTCTGCCTGGGCCTCTCTCCTGGTGACCATACCGTGTCTTCAAGGAAGTGCCTTCCTGCCCCCTTCCCACCAGTTTTCCTGCAGGCAGCTTTGCGGGTACTATTTTCTTGCTGTCTTTTACCTCTCGAGCAGAGACCCCTCTTTCCATTGTGTGTGCTCCTCTGCCCCTCCTTAACTGTGTATATAGATTGAAAGCCCAACAGACACATCTATTCAAGCACATCTTTGTCTTTTTGAGACAAGATGCCATGTAGCCCAGGCTAGCTTCCAGCTTACTGTGTAGCCCTGAATGCCTTTTAACTTCCTTAGCCTCTACCTCCCAAGCATCGGCATACCCTGCCCGTGGACTACTACATCTGGCTTATGCCGTGTTGAAGACTGAACCCAGGGTCTTATGCATGTTAGACACACATTCTGCCAACTGAGCCAGCAGGAGTAAATCTTTTGGGGAGTTTCTAGGGTGGTTTAAAGATAGTTGGAGCTAGCTGGACTTGGGTCAAATCCTGATCATCAAGCAACCTGGGGAAGGTTTCCCTCCCATCTGTGAAGAACAGCTCACAAATGGCTGATAGGAGATGTCTGTTGAGCCCCTACTGTAGTCCTTCTACGTAACACATTATAACAAAGCTCTGTGGATCAGGGGTGCCTGCATTCCACCAAGGACATAGAGTTGTTAAGGAACTTGCTTAAGGTCCTGTCCCTGATGAGTAACAGGGTCCTTCCTTGGTCCCTGCCCCGTGGAGAGGGTGCCCTGTGTGGGGAGTGCTCCTCATCCAGTGAGCCCTGTGGGGAGAGTGCTCAGCATCCAGTGATCGTTCAGCACAAGTTGGGGGAGCAGCTTCCCATGGTTGGGGAGAAGATAGGAAGGAAGAATGGGTGACAAGGGACTCAAGGACTGCTCTGCCGCCTCTACAGGCCTCTTCTGCAACCGAACCTTTGATGACTATGCCTGCTGGCCAGACGGGCCCCCAGGGTCCTTTGTGAATGTCAGCTGCCCCTGGTACCTGCCCTGGGCCAGCAGTGGTGAGTGTCCCCTTCCCTGTTCCCAGGGCTTTGGGGCAGGATGGAACAAGGTCTCCCTTCTTCTGGGCCCAGTTCCTGTAGCCCAGAATGTCCTCAGGCCCCATGGAAGGTGGAGCACCCTTTGATGGTGGTTGGATAGCCAACATTAACAGGTGTCGGAACTGCCTGGTGTCCTGTGTCTGATGCTTGTGCAGGCAGGGGTGGGATACAGCTTAAGACAGAAATGAGACCCTTCTGACCTAGCAGTCAACAAAGGAGCCAAGGATCCGGGGGATAGGAAGAGGAAGAAGATACCCAAGGAGTGTCATTGCCTGGTATGTGTGCGTGTGTGTGTGTGTGTGTGTGTCTGTGTGTCTGTCCGTCCTAGAGTTGACACCTCAGCTCTTCCTGACTCTTTTAAAGGTTCATGGGCAATAGTGCTCAAGGGCATAGTGGGCTGGCCCCCTCAGACCTTGTCCAGCCCACTGCTGCCTCCAGGAGAGACTACACTGGGAAAAGTATGACGTGGTGGGATTCTCTTCCCACAGAGCCATCCAGAGGGCCAGGCTGCCCTTGACTGCAGTGCTAATTTACATGCCTATTGCTCCATCCCAGTTCCCATGCTAAGGGTCTGTGGGACATAATGGGGACAAGCATTATTGCTGCAAGAAGTCTCAGACACGCGCGTGTGCATGTGTGTGTGTATGTGTATGTGTGTGTATTCATTTGTGTGGAAGTACATGTTTATGCACAGGCGTGGGGTCCACAAGTACGGTCCTCCATGTAGAGACTGGAGGTCAACTTCGGGTTGCCCTTGCAGACTGTCCTCCTTGTTAACGCATCCTGGGGAATCTGCCAGTCTCAGTGTCCCCAGCACTGAGATCACGGGCATGTGCTTCTTCCATGGATGCTGTGGGACTCAGCCGAGGTTCTCGTGTCACATGGCAAACACTTTACAGACCGAACCATTTGCCCAGCCCAGCAAAAAGAGATTTCATAAGTTAATGATGGCCGGTACTTGGCGAATATCTAACCCTTCAGTCCTGGACTAACTGCTGTGGAGAATGTGCTTGCCTAGATGAGGAAACTGGAGTCCCGAGAGATTTAAGTCTCTTGTCCCAAATGAGGTAGTGACTGCTGGAATCCCGAGAACCTAGCCCTTTTCTCTTGCCTGTGAGCAAGCATAGGACTGAGGTCAGGCTTATGGAAAAGGGTCTTCTTGGAGGAGGTGGCCTGGCGGGACAGACATGAACTTCTTAGCATGAAGTACAGTCTGATGGGGCTTAGGCTGGTCTTCTAGAGAGGCTCCACCCATCTCTCCTGGGGCTACTCTAGACAAACCAGGACCTGCAAAAGGCAGGCTCCAAGTGGATCAGCCACCCTTCACTCAGAATTCCTCTACACATTGTCTGTTGACAGGCAAGACACCCATTCGATCCTGCCCATAACTCTCAGAGGCAATGAATCCCATTTTCTCTCCCATTGACGAGGAAGCTGAAGCCCAGAGATATGGCATGGCTTTTCCAAGACTCACAGCTAGCTGGGCTTAGCAGACCCGGGCATCAGTCCAGGAGGTTGGGTTAGTCTCTGCATTTCATTGTTTAATTGTTGAGCCAGGCTTCCTGGGGAGCTGGGCAGTGGCTGCACATGCATGCAGCCCTGGGTCTGGAGGCAGGTGAATGGCCTGAATGACCTCCATCCACTGGATACACATTAGTAAGGGCAAAGCCATCCTGCCCTTTCCCTCTGAGATAGGAAAGCCCCGTGGCTCTGCTTGTTGACCACTCCAGGGGCTGTGTGGTCAGGAGCAATTCCTAGACCTCTCTGTGCTCTGGTCTCTTTGCTCATTTGGGAGCTGGGATGGAGCCAAGTGATGTGGATGGGAGAGGATTGGAGATCCTTGGGGGGGGGGAACAAGTCCATTCATTTTTCCCACCCACCCTCGGTCCCTTGGCAACTTCCTGCATGGCACACACGTTCGCTGCCTCGAAGATTTGGGACCTCTGCTCGGGCATCCTGGCTGAGCCCCTAGACCCCGGGGAGCCAGGCGTGGGGCAGAGCCTATCACTCAGCACTAAGCGCCCCCAGCTCTGCCTGTCCTTGCGGCTCCATCCATCACCTTTAATTTTATTTGAGCAGGAAATAGGTCCTGGTGGTGCCCGTTTATGAGCGAACACGGTTTTATTGCTTTCTCCATGAAGATAACGGCCTCTGCACAGGCCCCCTGCCAGCCACCTTCCCTCCCTTCTTGCCAGGCTAATTTACTCCCCCCTCCTTTTTTTTGGACACCCAGATCATCAGCTCTGCCTCCCCTCTCCTATGCTGGGGACCCACAGAGACACCCACTGGACTCACACAGTGCAATCACTATACTGGAGGGGCTCCCTAACCCCACCCAGGGCTGTGGGAAATAGGAAGGGGGCACCTCTGGAGCCTTCTTAGCCCATCTCAGGGAGCAGCTGGTGGTGATACTGGGGACAGGGAGTTGACAGGCAGGCGTTGTCTCTAGCGGGCACTCTAGAAAACATGCCCAGAGGGGAAATATAAAAGCACTGGAATAGACAGAGCTGAGCACCCCCAAAGGCCCGATGAGAAAGGTAGGCTTGGGGCCAGAGGTCCCCATGATGACTGGAGTTAGGGTAAAGAGACCACCAGCAGGGTGCCCACAGGGGGCGAAGCTATGGCCAGAGCCCCAGATGCCATCAGGGTAGGGGTGAGAGAGCCATGCCCAGATTCTTTCTCCCTCCTCCTGGTGTTTTCTGCCGGTGTCGTCTCCTGTTGACCAAATCCAGAATGGAGGGCAGGAATTGTGTGGTACAACACGGAGGGAGTCAGCCTTCTGGGGTTCAGAGCGAGGCAGAGGAGTCAGTGGCCTCATTAAGAATTCAAACCAACGGGGTCTGGAGAGATGGCTCAGCGGTTAAGAGCGTTGCCTGCTCTTCCAAAGGTCCTGAGTTCAATTCCCAGCAACCGCATGGTGGCTCACAACCATCTGTAATGAGGTCTGGTGCCCTCTTCTGGCCTTCAGGCATACACGCAGAAAGAATATTGTATACATAATAAATAAATAAGTTTTTTTTTAAAAAAAAAGAATTCAAACCAATGGCCATAGCCGAGCTAAGTCCTTGTCAGGAGCAATGGCATGCTTGTGTGACATCCTCAGGGGGATTGCATAGAGTTGGAGGGGTCAGCTTTATGGCTTAAGCAGAGGCAGGTAGGGGAAATCAGAGGTGTCTTTTTCCTGGTCTGTGACATCAGGACAGGTGACATTGCGACCAGGCTGGGAGAACAGGCATAGGCAGAAGGAGGAGGGCTGATGCTCAGAGGGCACCTGGGACACGGGTCAAGATCTCAGGCCTCAGAGGTGCACAGGGTCCCTTCAATGCCGTGCGAGAGGACAAGGGTGGGAGGAAGAGTCTGGTCCACACAGGATGGAAAGGGTGAGGCTTGGAAGGTCGGCGAAGCCTTCCAGCCTCTTGGCTGCCTTGGAGCCTTTGGGCAGCCCCATTCACTCCCACAGGGACCCATGCCTTCCACATCATCCCAACCTCATTAGGCACCCCTCTCCAGGTTCCTACCTGTTTGTTAGCTTAGTTCTAATTATATGAGGGCCATAAAATGCTTTTAAAATAGGCTATCACTCAAAGTCTTAGAAACTCTTGACAGGTCACCTCCCTTCAGTAATGCTGAGCCTGGGAGCTTGGAGAGCAAGCCAGGGTTACCAAGGGGAGACTGAGGCCCAAGCTGGGTCTCACAGGGGCTCTGGCCTTGCAACGCTGGGGGAAGGGCTACCATGCACCAGGAAGTTCCTGCATGTTCTAGGAATGGGTCCCATTTTACAGATGAGGAAGCGGAGAGCCGGGGAAGTGATGTAATTCTTCCAAAGTGCCATAGCTGATTTAAGAGTGGAACCAGGTTTTACAATTGGGTCTGGACTTCTGAACCTGGCCTCTTGTTAAGCCCCGATGCTCCAAATTTCTCTCAACCCCCACCCAGAGCTGGCCCCTGCCTTTGACCCTGCCCCATCCTGTCACGTTTGGGAGGGATGCCAGCCTCGCTGACCCTCAGCATTTCCATTTGCAAAATGGGGGCCCCACGGCCCTTGCCGGCCACCTCTGTTGCCAGGGTGCAGGAGCTAATAGATTCATGAGCAGCTCTCCACCACTTTGAGTGCCCGCCGTCCACGTGGAAGGGTGGCTGTTAGCTTGATTACAGACGCCGTGGCAGCTTCCGGGAGGCGAAGTGTTTAATTGGGGGTTTTATTTCCAGCACCAGGGACTGACTTAATGAAATATGCCTGGGCCTCCTGGCATGTGGCCGCCTGGTTGTCTCCTCGTATTGACTAGACCAAGCCAAGCCTGTGGCTGTGATTGGCCAGCTCCTCACAGGCCAGATAAAGCTGGACTGATAAGCAGGGCTTTGCCCAGACCACCCACCTCCAGCCAAGAAGGGCATTTGGGGACCATGGGCTCAGCCAGTATCCAGCCGCAGCTTTTAATATTTGATGTTAATGAGGGCTAACTGACAGATGAATTTGTAGACTGTGCTTCTCTGGGACACAGTGATCTCTTGACGCTAAGCCAAGAAGGCACACATCAGTGCACACACTACCTTCCTGCCCCCAAGCTGGTCCTGAGCAGAGAGCCCAGAGCTATGCAGTCTGTCCGGGGGCCACAGTGGCATGTGTGAAAATCCAAACCCAGGGGAAAGACAGGGGAAAATGGCACCTGGCCATGGTTGACTCTTGGCACAACTCTGGCTGCTAACTTTTGGCTCCTGGAGGCGGAGAGCTGGGAGTTAGAACCCTACCTGTGTGTCTTCCTATCTGCCTAGGCTTGAGAAGGTAGATCTCTTGGCTACTCAGAGGCTTGGTGCTTTCATCTGTGAAATGGTTAACCTGGTGAGGTGCCTGTGATGTTCTAAGGTGCTGGCATACAGTAGGTATTCAAGACGTGATTCTGTGAGTAAATACAGCCTTTGGAGACAACATATGCAGTGGTATAGGGAGGAAATCTACAATTGTACAGTGCCTACTATGTGCACAGTATGTGTAGGGCTCTGTGCCTACTATGTGCACAGTGCATGTAGGATGCAGTGTCTCCTGTGTGCACAGTGCATACAGGGTACAGTACCTACTATGTGCACTGTGCACAATGCATGTAGGATACAGTGTCTACTATATGTTGGGGTTTGTGCCTGCAGTAGGAAGAATCTAGTGTTGTGTTTTCTCCCTTCTTCTAGTTCCCAAGGTTCCTTCTCCCTATTCTACTCCCCACTTTCTCCCATTACTGCAGAGCAGGTTCTGATACCAATGTCATTCCCACAAAGTTAGGCCCAGGTCCCATCACCCTTCTTGGGGTCTATCTATAGCCAAAGACAGGCTTTGTTATCTACCAGAAGTTTGGACTCCCATTAAGAAATTTTAAGCATCCATGCAACAGATAAGAAAACCATTTGGGAATCTGAGGGTGGCCCTTCAAGATGCTAAATGAGACCATGTACCTGCCCTCCCCTGCCTTTATATGTACCCAATCATTTGTTAAGTCCCTAGAGATGCTTCTGGGACTCAGTGCACTACTAGCCACGAGTCGAGCCACCATCAGTGGACAAGCCGCCATCAGATTCTTGGGGTTCTGTTAACATCACTGAAAATGCAAGTTTCCAACTGAGGAGATGATTTAGCTGGTCAAGTGCTTGTGTGCAAGCAAGAGGCCCCGAATTTAGATCCCCAGCACCATGTAAAAAGCTGGGTGTGGTGGGGTGTGTCTGCACAGGGGAGGGCCTGGCTGGCCAGCTAGTCTGCTCCAGGTTCAATGAAAAACCCCGTTCAAAAAGTCAGGCGGTTGTGGGGGAGACACCTGGCCTCCACCATCAACTTCTGGCCTCCATGCATGCATGTGCACGTACACACACACACACACACACACACACACACACACACACACGCATGCATCTGTGCAGGCTCCTCTCACAGCACTCACACTGATTTGCTCCGATACCATCTTTCCTGGAGAGATATCCGCCTCAGGCTGTTCATGAAGGGAGGAGAGGAAGAGGGAGAAGGGTGTGAGGACTGCCCACACTGGGTGCTGAGTGGCAGAGCTGGTGTTAAGAATAAGGCCTGATTGGCAGGTGCATGACCGCACTGCAAGAGGCTGTCACAGGACCAACAGGGAGGCTCCCTGCACGTAACAATGGTCCAGGAGATTGGTTTCTGTGCTGAGGCTGCCCCTGGGGGGAGGGGGAGTGTCCCTTGGGGACGCGGGTCCCACAGGGTGCAGCTGCCACCCGGTATTTACATATATTAATCAGCCTCTTCCTAGTGACAATCTCTCCACCTCAACCCTGACCAGCTATGGCCACAGAGGGCTCTTGGTGACTTCTGTATCCACCCCACCCCACCCCCACTCCCAGCTCCTTTTCACGCTGCCTGCCACCCATAGCCGGTCCTTCAAATCTTTTGGTCTTTAAACTATTTTATTCCATCTATGTGCTCATTTAGTGGAGGCACATGCTGCGACCTTCATGTAGAGGTCAGAGGACAGCTTGTGGGAGCTGGTTCTTTCTTCTTAGCATGTGAGGCTCGAGAACTGAACTCAAGACAGCAGGCCTGGTAGCAGGCATCTCCACCAGCTGATCCACTCTGCTAATTCAAGATAGTCTTACAGAATCTAAATCACCTGCAGTCAGTCCCTGACTTCTGCCCTCCTCACTCTCCTGCGCTAACCCCACCTCCTGCAACCTCTTGGTCCCCATCCCTACCCCCACCCTGTTCCTTGGCCCTGGTGAAAGATTTAAGTTCTCCTGCAGGAAGACAGTGAGTGAGGCATTTCCTAGATGAATAGACCTCTCTGCTGCTCTTACATGGTGTCTTGGGCCAAAAGCCACTCCTCTCCCTCATCTCCCTAGACAGGTCCACAGGTCCGTAGTAGGGGCATGATGGGGACTGCCCCAGCACCCCGATAGTCAAGTGGCTGTGAAGACCACAGCTGACAGCCCACTCCCAGCTCTGTGGAGCCTGTGTTGCTTCCCCCTTCATTTCCCTTTTCACCGTTCTTCTCTGGGAGCTGCATGAGGGCAGGGCCTGGGTTGTTGGTCGCCTTCTCTCACAGGTTAGGGACTCAAAGAGCAGTTTCTTCTTGGACACAGGACTAGGGGTTACGTGAAGGAGCAAGCCTTGTCTCCCTGCCTGAAGGGAAAATTTCCAGGAGCAATGGTTATGATGGCACCATGAGACTTTATGCTTCTTTTAGAGGCCTTAGAGAGGAAGTCTGAATCTCCTCAGATGGGCTCCCTGATGGCAGGCCACGTCTCCTCAGACTGGAGCTCCCTGATGGCAGGCCACGTCTCCTCAGACTGGAGCTCCCTGATGGCAGGCCACGTCTCCTCAGACTGGAGCTCCCTGATGGCAGGCCACGTCTCCTCAGACTGGAGCTCCCTGATGGCAGGCCACGTCTCCTCAGACTGGAGCTCCCTGATGGCAGGCCACGTCTCCTCAGACTGGAGCTCCCTGATGGCAGGCCACGTCTCCTCAGACTGGAGCTCCCTGATGGCAGGCCATGTCTCCTCAGACTGGAGCTCCCTGATGGCAGGCCACGTCTCCTCGGACTGGAGCTCCCTGATGGCAGGCCACGTCTCCTCAGACTGGGGCTCCCTAAAGTAGAGGCTGCTTTAATTCTGTTCTTATAAGTTCAGTGCCATCTTTGCTCTTAGAACTGTCTGTTCCCCCAAAAAGAATGCAGGAGGCTGAAGGACTGAGTCCAGAATATTAGAAATCATAGGGGGTGATTGTGATTGCAGAGTCCCTTCTGCTCGGCATCAGACCTTGTCAATACTGTGATTTGAGGCTGGGGATAAGATATAGATATCTTGTCTAAAAGCTATGGATTCACTCAACTGTGTCCCTGGGGGACTAAGAGGCACAGCTGAGGGTGACTGGGTGATCCTTGCTGTGCAATCCTGGACCGTCCTGGTACATGTGTGCGCTCATGCCTGCATGCATATGCTTGTGTGTGTGCATCTGCGTGTGTGTGTGTGTGTGCATGTGTGTGTATGAACACAGGTGTGCCAGTTACTAACTAAGGGTCAGCTCTAATGGAGCAGGGTCCCCCTGAGAGGAAAGGATAAGGACAACAGTGGGTGGACTGCTCATTTCTAGGCTGAGCCTCAGATGCCCTGTCTCCCTCCTCTAGTGCTTCAGGGCCATGTGTACCGGTTCTGCACAGCTGAGGGTCTCTGGCTACACAAGGACAACTCCAGCCTGCCCTGGAGGGACCTGTCGGAGTGTGAGGAGTCCAAGCGAGGGGAGAGAGTGAGCTGACGGGTTCTGAGCCTGGGAAGGGGCAGCGGGGTGTCTGCTCCATGGGAGCAGAGACTCTAGGCTTTGGGCGGGGCTGGCCATTGTCACATCTGTCCCCCTGCTTCTGGTGACTCTGCACATCTGCTGTCTGGCCAAAGGTGATGTGTGCTCACCTAGGAGCCAGGTTGTAAACATCTCTGGACCACTTCCGCATGTCATTCTCTTTCTTGATTGTGGAATCTCAAGTCGGGCCCCAGGTCACCTCAGTCCCTGGACCCGGAATGAAGGTTATGGGAGAAGGAGGCTCACAGGGCATGCACACATCCTTGTGTCCTTCTGTGTACGCAGAACTCCCCCGAGGAACAGCTACTGTCGCTGTACATTATCTACACTGTGGGATACGCACTTTCCTTCTCCGCCTTGGTCATCGCCTCAGCCATCCTTGCTGGCTTCAGGTAAGGAGAGCTCAAGCCTAGGAGGGAGGGGGCTGCCCTGTGCTCAGCTACCTAGGAGAGGAATTCCAAGCCAAAGCAACGGAAGCAATGGGTGGGGAGTGGGGGGGGGGGCGGGTCTGCTTTCTAGGACTTCCTGGAAAACATGAGTTCAGTCTAGTCTCCACTGTGTCACTGTGCATCTGCACATTAAAAAATTGCACGCGCGCACACACACACACTCACACACACGAGTTGTAACGGTGGGTGATAAGATGATGAGGAATTCTAAGAAGTCACATCCACCAAGCAGATAATAGTCGATAATTCAGCATGATTTTAGCAAAGTCTCAGTAGTTAGAGGTTCTACTGTCTTGGAGCTTATTAATGCCACTAGAAAGTTCTTTTTTGGGCCTTGACCCTCTGAGGAGGGGCTGGGAAGCAGCTTCCTTAATCTCTCTGGGATAACTGAGGGTGAGGGGAACTAAGTTTAGGGTCAGAAAAATTATGAGGGCAGAATCCTCAGGATATTGATCATCAAGAATAAGAGTTGTTGGACTAGAGAGATTGCTCTGCAGGTAAGAGCATATACACAAACCACTCTTACAGAGGACCCTGGTTCAGTTCCCAATACCCATGCTGGGCAGCTCACAGCCACCTGTAACTTCAGCTCTAGGGGATCTGATGCTCTCTTCTGGACTCTGTGGGACCTGCACGCATGTGCTCACACTCTCCCAACATACACATATTTAAAACAACAAACATAAATATTTAATAGAAACAGGGGATGTGGTTTTCCTCCTCTTGTCTCTAAAGCAGCTGGTACAATAGTAGACATACCGTTAGTGTTCTCGAGACACAATCGTTGGATGAGTATTGCGTGAGCTACTTTTATGTGCCCAAGAGATGCATGCTAGGACAGTTTCAGAGTGGAAAGATTTGTTCTGGCTGATGGTTTTTTGTTTGTTTGTTTGTTTTGTTTCTTGACTCCTATGGGATTGTATAGAAAATCATGGCCATGAGACTGTGTGCCAAAGGGAGCTGTTCATCTCGTGATGAACAGGAGACAGAGAGGGGAAGGTATCCCACCACCCCAGTGACTTACTTCCTCCAGTTAGGCTCCACCCCCTACAGTGTTCAGCACTCCTGAAATAGCCCACCACCCAAGTCAGCACATCCCAGCCATATTTCATAGTCAAATCATGTTAAATATTCCTTTATTGTGAACCATTTCAGAGTCAAAAGTTTAGTGAAAATACATACAGGAATCAATGCTTAGAGCTAAGGCATGGTGAGCTGGGGAGATCACTCTGCAGTTAAAATGCTTGCCACATCAATGTGAGGACCAGAGTTCAGAGTCTGAGACAGCCACATAAATGCCAGGTGAGCATGGTGGCTCACCTGTAGTTCCAGCCTTGGAAGGCAAGGAGAGAATGGCCAGAGAAGGCTGTTAGCCAGGCTAGCCACATCAGTAGCTCTGGGTTTGATTGAGAGCCCTTGTCTCGATGAAGAAGTTGAAAGAGCAGTGGTGTAAGAGTCCCAGCATCATCTTCAGGCCTCCCTCTGTGTACACATGTGCACACAGAATCATGGGAAAACATGTACACACCTACACACACACACAAAAAAATGGGAAAATAAAGATAAAAACGAAATGTTACAAGTTGGGTGTGGTGGTAAACACCTGTAATCCCAGCACTTAGATCAGGGCAGGAGGATTGTCATAAGCTCAGGGCCGTCTGGGTTACATAAAGAGTTCTAGGCTAGCCTGAGCTATAAAACAAAGCAAAGCCCATCCATCAGGTCCCTGTGTCCACCCCTGAGGAACTAATCCTTGCCCGTAAGGACTTGATTCCCACTCTCTCATTGCCTTGCACTCCCTTGCTAAGGGTCTGCAACAACACACAGCACGGCTCACTGATATTTTAAACAGCATAGTGACCATATCCTGCTGCAGTTCCAAGGGGTGGGAATCCAACATTGTGTTTTTGTGAGATTCCTTCTGATACAGATACTCCTAGTTCCTTCCTTTGAGCTGTCCCTGTTTTCCGTTGTCATCACCCGGTCTGGCTATTTGAAGTGTTTGTTGATTTTTCTTTCCGAATTACAAGCCTTACAGCAATGGGTTTTTTCTGGGGATCTTGCCTGTGTGTTTCCTTAGGGCATATCCCCAGAGGTGAAATTGTCACCATTAACTAACTGCCTGGTTTTTAGCGTTTTGTTAGCTAGTGTTAGGTGGCCTGCCAGGTGGCTACTGCCAGTCTGTGCTCTGGCCACTGGCGGGGAAGGTTCCTTTGGCTCTGTACCAGACTCACATTTAGTGTTTTTAGAATTAAGTGAAGTTAATCTATAAAGCATGCAGAAGAATGTGTTATGATTTTAATTTGCTTTTCTTTGACCCCTAGAGAGGTTGTTTCTTTCATACTTTAGTCTATGAATTGCTTGTTCATTGCCTTTTATTGTTATTATTATTAGTTTATTTGGCTTGTTTTAGGCATTTATTATGTGGATATTAACCCGAGACATCTTAACCTATGCCAATGTTTCTCATTTTCTGGTGCCTTTTATACACAGGAGCTCGGCACTTAGATGAAATGAAATTGGCCAACTATCAATTTTTATTGCTAAGTAAAAATGTATCAATAGGAACTATTGATTAATAAAAGTTATTTTATCAGTCAGTAGGCATTTATTAATTTTTTCCTGAAGACTAGATTTCGTTTTGCTCTCCCGCCAACCATCTTTTCTTATCTGACGGTTGCAAAGCCTCTCAGCTCTATTCCCTTCAAGAAGCTGCCGAGTCTTCTTCTGCCCTTGTGGCTCTGCAGTCCTCTTGGAATTCAGTTTGTGTCTGGTGGGAATCAGGGATTTTCCCCGTCCCTCCATATATAGGCGGCCACTGCTGTGTGCCTTTGCCGGTAGTCTCGGTTTGCCACAAGGGTCCCTGGATCTGTAAGTTGATTTCCGTTGTTTACATCCTTTTCTCTCAGTCTGTTTATCTACCCTGCTCCCAAACCACAGCACCTTGTCTCCTAAGGATTTATTAGAAATATAAGGTCTCAGGCCAGTAAGTAAAGGCCAAGCCTGATGGCCTGAGTTGGATCCTTGGAATCCACAGCACAAGGAAAGAACTGACTCCTCCAAATTCATTCCCAGACCTGTGGCCGCCACACAAGTGTTCTTGTGTATGTGCGGCCCAAACACAAACACATAAACATAAAGCAAAGGAGAAATGAAAAGAAATCCTATCTCTCAGCTGCGCAGATGGCTCAGGCAGTTAAACATTTGATGCCCAGGTGTGGGAAGCTGAGTTTGCATCCCCAGAACCCACTGGTGGCACGTGTTTGTGGCCTGGAGCTCCTGCAGTGGCACACAAGGCAGAGACGGGGGTATCCTAGGAAGTTCCTGGGCCGGCCAGCCTGGTGTGAGGAACAGTGAAGGAGAGGGTGAGGGTTCGCAGCGGAAGACGTCCGCCAACCCCTACCCGTGTACTCACACTCATACACATGTTCGTGCACACATATGTGCAGGCACAGTACAGGTACACAGGGAACTCCTAGCTCTCTTACAGCAAAGACTCCTATGTTCTGATGCCTTTTGTGTATTGATCCTTTCAAGACAGGGTCTCACGTAATCCAGGCTGGCTTTGAACTCTGAATTCCCTTGCCTCCACCTCTAAGTGCTGGGACTATAGGCGTGCAAATCATGCCCAGCTGAGGGCTGTTTTGTTGAAAACAGGTCTTGCTAGACTTGCCTCAAACTCCTGGTCCCCCTGCTTCAGCCTACCCTGTGCTGGGATTGCAGGAAAGGGCCACTTGATGGTTCTGTGTGACTATCTACACTTCTCTTGACTTTTGGCCATTCTTTGTAAATTTTTTAAGTACCTTGAAAAAAAGTTCGCATTTTATTACAGCTGCTCTGAATTCATTATTTAACATGGGACCGTGACAGTGGCATTTCTGTTCCTAAGTATGGTGTGACTATGTATTTCCTACTAATTTAAGACTTCTCTAATAATTTTAAGCCAATTTTATTAAGTCGCCCATAATGATCTTACCCATCCTCTTGTTAGAGATATTTTCAGGAAACCAAATAGAATCTTCTGAATGGATCTTCAATTTCCTTTTATTGCATATTGCTAGAATGTGTCAGGGAAGCCGTCAGCAATCTTGCCGGAGTCTTTAGTTGCTATGGTTCATCCGTACGTTGTTGTGGGGTTCCTCCGAAAATGCTCGTCTGTAAGCCATAACCGGTTCTGGTTCACCTCTTCCGTGGCCCTGTTGTAGCAGTGAGATCTGTAGGGCAGCCATTAGAGGCGACAATAGCGCACATCCTCACGGGACTGTGGGTTGTAGAGGAAATATTTGTCAAGATCCTCTGCTAAGAATGATGTTAACTTTTGCTTGGGAGCTAGCCTTTAAGCAGATGAAGTGCCCTTAGTTTGTCACATGGGGTATGTGTGTATGTGTGTGTGCATGTGTGTGTGTGCGTTGTGTGTGTGCTCACATGTTCACATCTACATGCTCTCCACATGGCTTACATACCAAGCATGTGGAAGCCAGGGAAAACCATTGGCCATCCCTCTCTGTCATTGTCACTGTCTCCTCTTAAGAACATAGTCTCTTGCTGAACCTGGAGCTAGGCTGGCAGCTAGCAAACCCCAGCTATCTTCTGGTCTCTATGCCCCACCCCCACCCAGCACTGAGGTTACAGGGCCGCACACTCGATTTTCCACATGAGCGCTGGGGGTCTGAACTGAGGTCCTCATGCTTGCAGAGCGAACCCCCTGACCCACTGAGCCACCTCCACAGGCCTGCTGCACATTTTCACCTGGGAGTGTACTGACATGGTACCCAGTTCCTTTTAAACTTCTACCATGTGCCTAGACACACTCTGCCCCAGAGAACAGTCCAAAAGTGTCATATCCTGAACTGATCTGACACATACATTGTTTTGGTTACAATGTACATAGTGTTTTGGTTACATGTAACTGTCTGAGAGAAAGTACCGCTGCAAGGTCAGAGTATAGGTAAGAAACAGGTAGTGACTGCTGGTTGAGGGCCTCTTAGGGATTTTCAAGGTTGTGAGGAAAAAAGGCATTCTCAGAGGGAAGAAGCCGTCAACATAGTCCCAGAGAGGCACACGTGCCTGATGCGTGTGTGGGCTGGCTCGGGTGCCAGTGTTATCCATCTTGCTAGGGAGGGGCCCTGCTTTCTCCCGCAGACACTTGCACTGCACCCGGAACTACATCCACCTGAACCTGTTTGCATCCTTTATCCTCCGCGCGCTGTCCGTCTTCATCAAGGACGCCGCCCTCAAGTGGATGTACAGCACGGCTGCCCAGCAGCACCAGTGGGATGGGCTCCTCTCTTACCAGGTGTGTGGTGTGGCCTGGGGAGCCTGGGGAGGGGGGGACATCGGTGAGAGGGTCCACTGCGGAAGCCTGAGATGGGTGAGGACAGAAGGGGCCCAGATTTGCCCTCAGGGAGTCCCTGTATGATGGGAGAGGCAGTCCATAACGAAGAGTCCCTAGTGCTGTGGGAGAGGCACTCTACCTTGGGAAACTCCTAGTCTGATGGGAGAGGCAATACACCACAGGGAGGCCCTAGTCTGATGGGAGAAGGCAGTCTACCCGGAGATGCCTAGTTTGATGAGAAAGACAGTCCAACACACATCGCCCCTAGTCTGATGGAAGAGAAAGTCCATCATGGGGAGCCCCTAGGCTGATGGAGGAGGCAGTCTAACTTGGTGAGCCCCTAGTCTGATGGAGGAGGCAGTCCACCTTGGGGAGCCCCTAGTCTGGTGGAGGAGGCAATCCACCTTGGAGAGCCCCTAGTCTAGTGGAGGAGGCGATCCACCTTGGGGAAACCCTAGTCTGATGGAAGACGCCGTCCAACTGGGGCAAGTGAATCCAAGGTAAGAGATTCTACCCTAGGGAATTCATTTGGACACAGGTTTCTCTGGATGCAGGCCCGAGTTTGCACCCCAGCCCTACCATATGCTAGTTGTATATAAATTCAGACCCACAGCTTCTCCAGGGCTCAGTTCTCCCAGCATGGGGGCAATAGCAGGTGCTTTCTTCTTCGGATGGGGCGGGGGCTGATGAACTAAAGCAGAGGGTGTCCCCAGTAGCGGCCCTGGCCATATGAAACCCTTCTATCCCATGTTAACCATGCTAGGACAGTGGCCAGGCCAGGACCATGAGGAGCGGCAGGTGGGGCAGGAAGCAGGGCTGCTGTCCCCATGGGACCCTTCTCTGTCCCCAGGACTCTCTAAGCTGCCGACTGGTGTTCCTCCTCATGCAATACTGCGTGGCGGCCAATTACTACTGGCTGCTGGTGGAGGGCGTGTACCTCTACACGCTGCTGGCCTTCTCCGTGTTCTCGGAGCAGTGTGTCTTCAAGCTGTACCTGAGCATAGGCTGGGGTAAGGCCTACTGTCGTTCACCTCTCCACCTCCATGGGTACCCGCAGCAAGGGGTGGAACCCTCCCTTAAAAAAAAAATAAATCCCCTTTCTTAATAGATGCTTCTACTCTCACATGACCAAATATTCCCCTACCTGACCCTTAACCCTGCCACCACACTCTCAGAAGTCAGGACATTGTCCCCAGAGCGTTTCACACCCAGTGCAGGGCAGCATGAGGTTCTATGGGAGATGCCGCATCCTGGGCCTCGCGATGGGCCGGGGGTGAGCAGGGTACGGGCTGACATAGGATGCCATTGCCGCGATGAAGGGAAGTCGGGAGGGGTGAGCAGCCGAGGAGAGCGGTAGACTGCGGATGTGCCTGGAGCCCAGCTGGAAATGTTCTAGCCAAAAAAAGTCTACTGAGATCCATTGTGCCCTTTTTTTTTGCTGGAACATTTCTGGTTGTGTTTCTACCTCTCGCCACGTGGGAGCCACATGGAGCGTAGGAAGGACTGCAGTTGAGGGGGGATTGGGTGTGGTGTGGTGGGTGGGTTGGAGCCCTGCAGTGTCAGGGAGACAGGTGGGGACACCTCGCACAGAGGGACCAGCAAGTACCCCTAGCTGGGACATAACAGAGGACAGGCCTGTGGTCAGCCCTCCGTGATTGCCTCCTTAAGTTCCAGAGCTTTCTTCCTCATGCCAAACCTGTAGTCCCTAGAGCTATTCTGACCTCTCCCAGCCTTGCCTTCCAGACACTTCTCAGCTCAGTCAAGGCAAACTGTCCTCTCCCATCCTGGTCCTGCATCGGTCCTTCCAAAATGCTGCTTGGTGCTGAGAGCACCCTCTTCATGTCAAGGTTGCCAGCTCGCCCTCCAGGAAGCTGTGTTAGGTTTCCAGCCCCTTAGGGCCCTGCTCTCTGGTCCTCTCAGCCCCCTCGGCACTCTCCTTGCACCCTGCTTATTTCTTCGGGTGCTCCTCAGCCACCTCAGGGATGAGGAGCTCTAATGGGGGTTTAGTAGAACCAAAGTAGTAAGGTCCCTAAGACACAGAAAGCAACTGGCCTTTAGAAACAGAGCAGACACTCGCTCACAAGAGGCAGCTGGCTCCTGACTCTGGGACTTGTTGTCTCCCTGCCAAACACAGGTCTTGGCCTCCGCTTTTCTCCTCAGGCCCCTGCTGGTTCTGCTGAGCAGGCTTAGGTCTCTGTACAGGTAAAAGTGGCCCTGGCTTCGGCATACAGAGGTCCCTGACAGTCCCTTTTCCTCCCCCTCTGAGACCCAGTCCATCCTACTCGACCCTTCCTTCCTTCCTTCCCTTAGACCTCTTTATCCTGCCAGGCAAACCCATCAGGTGGGGCATCTGGAGCGTCCTGATGCTCCCTAGGGGTGGGTGCAGGGACAGGCCATTGAGGAGAACTCAAGGAAGGGCTTCCTCTGTGTGGGGGACGATCGCGTCTGTCCATTCTGGGAAATAACATCAGCGCTGTTTGTATCTGTCACCATAGCAACCTAAGGGCAGGACCAACCAAAGGGATGTGTTCAGAAAAGCAGGGAGTTGGTAGGGGTCAGTGGAGACATATGGTACTCCGGAGGTCTCTAAGTAAGGGATGGGGAAGGGTGCTAGGTCTTTCTTGCCTACCCCAGCTCAGGGCTCAGGACCTTCAGAAACATCATCCCCAACCAGAACATCTTTTATTGAAGAACTGGGGTGGGGAGAGACAGAATCAGAGAGAAAAGAAGAGTAAAAGAGACCTGTGTGCTCTATGACCATGCCAGGAGGCCTAGCCCAAGTCGGGATAGACAGAAAACATCTTGCTTCCTGCTCAGCTGAACTAAAAGTTAAGACTGATGGAGTTGTGGGAAGCCCTTAAAAGGTGCATCAACTTGTGCTGCCTTGCATGTGCAGTTGGGCATCCTCAGAAGGGCAAGAAGTGATGGAGGGAAGACATGGTATCCCAGGACCTGTTCTGTGCATCTGGTTGACCTCTCTCCCCTGGCTCGTCTTAGAGCACAGAAGCCTGGAAGGAGTATGTCACCTTGGCAGGTGGCAGAGCCATGCCCCTGTTTCTTTACAAGGTCCTTGTTCACCAGATGTTAGTGAATGGATGAAGCTCATCAGGGTTGGCTGGTGACATGAGCCAGCTCATTCTGGAGTGAGTTCTCAGAGAGAAAGACCAGTAACTGATGGAGGACTTAGACTCTGAAGTTTCTGTACATGTATGACCTAAGAAATCGCATGACCATGTCCAGAGAGCTTCCCTTCTCTCATTGATATAGCTATTCCATTCCCACTGGGCATATTCTATGGGGCAGGGTCTATGCCATGCCCCAGGCCTCCTAGGTTATCCCCTTATTTGTTCAGTCCAATGAATGTCTGTTTATAAAGTATCGTGGATGTTGGAATGGCTAGTCTGTGTAAAAATGAATAGGGTGGGATAGCTCACTTGATCAAAGTGCTCACTGGATAATCATGAGGACAGGAGTTTGATTCCCCAGAACCCACATACAAAAGTTGTGGCATACACTTGTAGCTCCAGCACTGTGGAGACAGAAACAGATGCATGCCCAGGACTTACTAGCCAACCAATTTAACCTAACTGGTAAACCCCAGGTTCCCCCAAGAGACCCTGACTCAAAACACAAAGTAGACAGATCCTTAGGAATGACATCTGAGGTTGTTCTTTGGTCCCCACATGCATGGGTATGTACATTTTTATACACACACCCTTGGGCATAGATAGAGATGGACACTACACACACACACACACACACACACACACACACACACACACACTATGAATGTAATTAACCTTTTAAACAATAGTAATAGCAAAATTAGTAAATGGACCAACAGGGAGATCTGATAATAGCAGGCCAACTGGTCCATTGTTAGGTCCCCTCCCCTCCCCTTGTCCTCTCCCCTCCCCTCTCTGAATCATGGGCCAGTACAGTGATCCAGACACACAAGTTTTCAGTAGCTGTGACTGTGTGGACATCAATGAGTTAAGGACACTGATGACGGCGTTTAGAAAGGTTATGAGGTGGTTCTGCCCTGGAAATGTACACCTGGGAGAGATGCCTCCAAACCACACATGCGCGTGCATAGACCCTCCACCACACACACGAACCTGTGTCCACACACTTCAGTGTGCACATTGTGACCGACTTCAGTCGTCCACGTGACCAGCTTGAGATAGGCATAGGTGGAGGCAGGTGATGAGACTATTGATGCAGGAAGCCTGAGGGTGGCTGGAGTGGTGTAGGCTTGCAGCCCCAGAATCTGCGCCTACCTGTGTCCTTTCCTCCTGTCCAGCTCCTCATCTGCCCTGAGAAGGCGAGCAGCCCACCTGCCAGTTAACAAGCACAGACTGAACTCCAGGGAGTCCATTGTGTAGAGCTTAGAAACCAGCCGGATTGCTTTTCCGTTGCTATCTAACAGTGATCTCTGAACTTTGCTGCTTGGAGCCACAAACTACTATCTCACAGTTTCTGGACTCAAAAGTCTCGAGTTCAACCTGGCTGTGCATCCCTGACTCAGAATATCTACTTAGATCTGTCTGTCAATCAGAGTTGCTGTCATCCAGGGCTTGACTGAGGAGTCTATTTCCAAGCTCTCTCATGGAGCCGTGGGCAGGAGCCTTCCATTCCTTGGTGTAGGGAATTCTATGCAGGCTGTCAGGAAACACTTTTGGCATGACAACTACCCTTCTTTCTCCTCTCCTAACCAAATGGAGGCAGGGATAGCGAAAAGGAGAGAGAGAGAGAGAGAGAGAGAGAGAGAGAGAGAGAGAGAGAGAAAACAACACAAACCATAAGTCTTTAATCCTAGTACTTAGGAAGTGGATGGAGGAAGATCAGAAGTTCAAGGTCATCTTTGACTTTAAAATAACAAGTTTGAGGCCAGTTTGGACTACTTGAGACCCTGTCTAACAACAACAACAAGATGAATACCCAGAGGTAGTAATCACTGGGAACCATCTAAGTGGCTATCTATAAGCTGTATTAATTAACTTTGCATTGCTATAATATAATACCTGTGATAGTTGTTATCATAAAGAGAACAGGGTAATTTATAAGATCACCATTCTGTAGATTCAAGTCAAAGATTAGTCAGACCTGTTTCTTTGGGCCTCTTGTGGGGGTGTCACATTGCTGTGTTGGGGTACATATGGATGAGTAAATAGTCCCCTTCATGCCAGGAAGAAAAAAAAAATCTCCTCTTGAAAGGACTGCCCACAGGCCCTATATTCTGAAGACTCCACCACCTACTAGTGTTACACTGATGCTTATCTAAACCCTGGCACTCACTGGGAAGTCTTATGGCTGCAATTGTTGATTGTGTAGACCTCTGTGTAAATGGGACAGGCCTTGTCTCTCTTTTAGGCCTCGAACAGGTGCATGGGGAAGGGAACAAACACCTGAAGGGACTTCTGGGACCTGAAGGAGTGAACTGAGATGAGCATATGGGCAGATAAAAAGGAGGACGGAGCATCAGAGTTTCTGGTCCCCTCCTCATCCCGCATGTTCTCCCCACCACATTGTACTGATCTGGTGCTACTCGAGTGTTTGTCCTGGGGTCTCACAGCCAAGATTCTGGAGACAAAGGCACTTGGCACACGGGAGGGGCTGGCCCACGAAGAACTCTGTCAGGAAGCAGGAAGAACCCACGTTCTTCCTGAGTGTGAAACCCTTCACCTCCATTCTCACAAGCGCGGTTGTAGGGCCGGGAAGGTAGACGTGCTGGAGGTGTGGGGGTCTGGGGTGTGGAGAGGAACTGGGCACCGTGGCATCAGCTCTGTCCTGCCAGCTCCTCTCTCCCCTTTGTCTTTTCTTCCCTCCTCCTCTAGGTGTTCCTTTGCTGTTTGTCATCCCCTGGGGCGTTGTCAAATACCTGTATGAGGATGAGGGGTGAGTGTCCTGCTACGGGACAGTGGCATGCTAGGGTCTCGTCCTTATAATCTATGGGATTCCTGAACCCTGGAGCACAAGTTTACTACTTGTTTGGGAAGATCCGTGGGATCAGCGGGAGTTTAGCCTGTGAATTCAGTCTCTGAGCTCTACTCCCTGAACCTACCCTGGGATGGTATGATGATCAATATTTGCTGGCTTTTGCAGTGTGTGGTACATTCCTGATGGCTTTTATGAACATCAGAGTGAATAGCTGTTGTTTTGTGTATGATGCTGGGTGTGCATGTGACTGCCTGCAGAGGTCCATGAAGATGGGGGAGAGGCATGGGTCTCTCTGTGTATGACTCTGTGTGGGGTGTGTGATGCCCTTGCAGGACTCTGCATGCATCTGTGGCTGGGTGGAGCACTTCCCTTAGCCTCGTACACTTGTATCTTTGTCCTGGACTAGCCACTGGGGCCTCTGAGTGCCCAGCTGGATGCCTTGTGTGCCTCTCTCTCCCTCCCTAGCTGCTGGACCAGAAACTCCAACATGAACTACTGGCTCATCATTCGACTGCCCATTCTCTTTGCTATTGGGGTGAGTGACAGAGCTGGGGATTGGAATGGAAGTTGGTGGACCTGGCCTGGGGCCAGGCTAATGACTGGGGAAAGGTGAACAGTCCTAGCCTTCTGCCAATATGCTCTGTAGGTCAACTTTCTCATCTTCATCCGGGTCATCTGCATTGTGGTATCCAAACTGAAGGCTAATCTCATGTGCAAGACTGACATCAAATGCAGGTACCTTAACCAAGATGGCTGCAGGAGTGACCTCAGCTTTCCCTTCCACCAGAGAGAGACTCTGGGGCACTCTGTTTGGAGCCCTGTGTAACCCTCTTTTCCCACCCAAGCCTGGTCTGCAACCCCTAAACTTTTCTCTCTATTCTTAGCAGCCTCTGGCTTCTGGAATCTTGACCTCTGTACCGTGCCCTCCTCCTCCCCCACCACACACCAAGGCACCCTGTCCAGGGCATTTTTCAGTGAAGAGTATTCATGACTCAGATAGAGAGGGGGTGGGCACAGAGAGAAAGAGCAGTCTTTGCACACAGCCTGAATGACACAAGCGATCTCACCCTATCTCCAGACTTGCCAAGTCCACCCTGACGCTCATCCCCCTCCTGGGGACCCATGAGGTCATCTTTGCCTTTGTGATGGATGAACACGCCCGAGGAACCCTACGCTTCATCAAACTGTTCACAGAACTCTCCTTCACTTCCTTCCAGGTGACTCACAGCTTGGGGAACTTGCCTGGGATGTCCCAAAGTGAGGGAGGGGAGGGCACCAACCTACATCATATAGGCGGGGAAGAGGAACAGGATGAGATCTGGGAGAACAATCCGGGCCCCGAGTCACATGGTGGGAGCAGAGCCAGAGCGAGTGTCCCCAGGTATTCAGACATAGAAGTCAGTCTTCTCTGTAAGCCCGTAGGACAAGAAGCCTTCCAAGATATGAACCTGAGCATCTAGGCATCTAGAGAGAGGTGCTGCCATCCACTGGAATCCTGGCAGGCAATTTATACACACAAAGCATTTGGTCCTCCCAGGACCTACAGTTGTGAGATTGTCCCTACCTAACATAACTGGAAACTGAGGCCTGGAGATGTTAAAACAAGATTTACAAGTGGCACAGCAGTTAAGAGCACTTGCTGCTCTTGCAGAGGACCCAGATTTGGTTCCTAGTATCCATGTGTTATACAATTGCCTGTTACTCCAGTTCCAAGGGATTAGACATCCTCTTCTGGCCTCCAAGGGCTTCTGCACACACATGATACCCCCCCCCCTCTCTCACACACACACACACACACACACACACGAGCCCACCTGCCTAGCTGTGGGCCATTGGGACCTAAGTTCAGCAGTTGGTGGGCGAGTTCTTCATGCTTTACCTGGTCTAGCCTCCTCAAGAAGTGGTGGAACTTTCTTAGCACCTGAGAAAGGAGCCTCCTGTTTCCTGAAAGGAAATTTAAAAAAAAAAAAGCAAAACAAAAGAAACAAACAAATAAAAACAAAACAAAAAAGCCTTGTCTGATAGGACCGGGAGATGGCTCAGTGGTTAAGAGCTATGTTGGCAAAGGGCCTGGGTTTGACTCCCAGCACCCACATGGTAGCTCACAACTACCTATAACTCCAGTCTTAGAGGAGCTGACACCCCCTTCTGGCCTCTGGGGGCACGAGGCATGTTGTATACAGACATACATGCAGACAAAGCTCTCACGCGCGTGCATGCACACACGCATGTACACACACAGACACATTTAAATTTGTTTTGGAAATTTAAGAAAAAAAAAATTTGCCTATTCCCAAGCCAGCCTGGGCTACCTAATTTGAGGAGAAGGATCCCAGGGGCTAGTTGCCCGGGTGCCTCCTCTTGGCTCCCTTCATGCTAACACACCTCTTGTTTGCAGGGCCTGATGGTAGCCATCTTGTACTGCTTTGTCAACAATGAGGTAAGGGCTGCAGAGGGATGGTAGGGACCCTGCTGGGGCTGCTGCCATTGGCTGGTGTGGGACTATGCAGTGTGGGTTCGCTTCAGTCTTTCTAGTTGAAACTTCCAGTCCCCTGACTGTGGCTAAAAACTGAGGTGATATCTTGCCTTTATATTCTACTCTGTGTCCCCAAGACGCACGCATGCACGCACACACACACACACACACACACACACACACCCCTAATGAAATAAGAGCTAAAGGAAGACCCAGCCTTGTGTTAAAGGTTTAATTGACTGTTTCAAGCAGGGGTGTCTGACCTTTTGACCTTGCCTTATGCCACTGCCATCCACAAATGATTTGGGCCACATTTGCCACTGTCCTAATATGCATGTAGCCCTTAGGCTACAGGTTGGGCATACCTGATTTATTGCAAAGTGATTTCACGCACATGTACCCCAGCCACTCTTGTGGCCTCTGCCCACAAGAGCTGTTCTTCAGATCCAGGAGTTGCCATGGCAATGCCAGGTACTTGTGACCTGAGAAGATGGCTTGAACGTTGGTCTCGTGTGGCTGTCAAGGCCTGCACCAGCTGCTGGTCAGTGGGGAGTGGGTCTAGGGAGGACTGGAGATGGGTTTACTGTAGCTGGTGTCGAGGGCCACAGTGAAGTCGCTCAGGAGCCGTGAGTACTCAGCCTGTTCTGCACAGCTAAGCTGTGTGACCTCAGGCTAGCCACCTTGTCATCTTTGCCTCTTCTGCCCAGGGCTCAGTGGAGATAAGAAAGATTTACCAAACCCTGAGCTTGATTGGTATTTAGTCGGGGAAGGATCTTGGGCATCAGAGGGCAGAGAAGGGTTAACAGTGGAAGGTGCAGATCATGTATTCATTTACTTCCTTTTAACCATTCATTCATTGGGGTGCAGGCTCTGTGTGCCACCGAGCTCAGGTGAACGCCAGAGAACACTTTGGGGGAGTCAATTCTCTCCCTCTTCCCTGTGGGTTCCGGGGATCCACTTCAGGTCATCAGGCTTGGTGGCAAATGCCTTTGCCCACTGAGCCATCTCACCAGCCCCAGGGTATTGTTTTTTTCATTTCTCTAACTGATCAGTGAGAGGACCTCACATCAGAGGCCCCTTCCTTGGTTGAGTGGTCGTTCATTTGACTCACAGAAGCAGCCTGCAGCGAGTGCCTGCTGTGCGCTGAGCACTGTGCTGGGAGCGTGGGTGCTCAGAGCAGGCAGCCTTGCCTATCGGGTCCTCTCTGCTAAGTGGGAGGAGATGCAGCCGGAGACTGGCAGACAGGAAGCCAGAGGTTAGATGAGGGCGCTGGAGTCAGACTAGACCTGGGTTCTAATCCTGACTGAGCCCTGGGGAAATATTTATAATTCCTGAGGAAATAATGTTCTTCTCCCCTGCTGCCTCTACTTTACTTGAGGAGTGATGGCTGCTTCCCAGGGTTAACGAGGAAGGGAACCAAAATGGCATTTTGTTTTGGGTGTGTGGATATGTACATGTGCACAAGCGTGTGAAGGCCAGTGCCAGACATCTGTGCCAAGTGTCTTCCTCAGACACCCACCACCTTGGTTTTGAGACACTGTCTTATGCTGATCTGGAGTTCATAAACTAGTTAAAGCCCCAGGGATCCACCTGTCCCACCCACCTCCCCCATCCAGTGCTGGGTTTATAAATCTGAGCCAACATGCTCAACTTGTTTTTAAGATTTAGTTTTGTTTTATGGGTATGACTGTTTTACCCTCGTGTATGTCTGTGTGCCCGTGGAGGCCAGAAGAAGGCACTGGATCCCCTGAAAATGGAGTTACAGATGGTCGTGAGCCACATATGGTTACTGGGAATTGAACTCAGGTCCTCTGGAAGAGCAGTCAGTGCTTTTAACTGCTGTAACATCTCTCCAGCTCCCCCCTGCACAGCTTTTTATGTGGGTTCTGGAGATCCGAACTCAGAACCTCGGGTTTCTGAAGTGGGTGATTTACTGACCGGCCCATCCTCTGCAGCCCCTGGAGGGTGGTTCTTGAGGACAAGTGATGGCTGGGGCCACCATGGAGGCTCAGAAAGAGTGCCGAGGGAGACAGAATCGAGCTATCATGTGCTTTAAGTCTTACTGGTTTAACTGTGCCTCCATTTACTAAATTTCCCCTCTATTCCAAGTGGGAGACTGTAGGGGATTTGCTTTCCTACAGCTGGACGGAAGGGCGCCCCCCCACCCCCGGGCTCAATGTCCCCACCCCAGCCATCAGCACTGCACAAACCCAGCCAGGCAAGGCAGCCACAGGTAGTGTCTGTTATGCCTCCTTCCCTCACCCTCTAGGCCTGGCCTCCGCGACACTGTCTGGGACACCAAGGCGCCCTGGTAGGCGGGATCTGGGTGATCTTAGCCCTACCCAGTGCAGAAGTTCTTTTAAGGGATGGCATGTGACCACACAGGGTATCTGGCTGGGCTTAGCGAGACGATGACATGGAAAGAGTAGAGGAGGGGTGTTTGCTCAGGGGCAGGTGGGGGCATTGGCAACGAGCCTCTTGTACACAGCCGCTGGCCGCTGGCCCTCCTGATGGCTTGGGTCTGAAAGGAACACAATCCCTAGACACTCCTAGATGGAAGGGCTGGTGGCGAGGTTGGAGAGGCAGACAATGAGAAAAACTCCCTGAAGAGTGATCCAGCCCTCAGGACACGCTGTGCAGCTTGTAAGAGCTCTCTCTGGAATCCCAGAACTGCCCTGGAGCCAGCATTACCACCAGCACTGGAGGGACTTGAGCCCCTCAGTGTTCTGTGTACTGTTCTGCCCCAGTGATCTGATTCCAGCATCTGACCTTCTAAGGGGCCTCTTCCCCTTGGGAAGGCCTGAGCTCAGCACAATGGGGGATCTGGTTGGCTGAGCTCACCTGGGCAGATTGCCCAGCCAAGCTCCCTTCAATTTCCCTGGATGGGATAGGTTCAAAGCCGGGCACAGAAGTCCTGGGTCTTGTCTAGTCCTTGCTTCCTTCACCCCTTCCCTGCCCTGGGAGGTTCAGGAACTGAGTGAAAACCTTAAGGGGAATCTGGGCTTGCTAGTTCACACTTGTAATTCTCAGCATTTAAGGGGCTGAGATAGGAGGGTGAAGAGTTTGAAACCAGCTGGGGCTATATAGTGAGATGTATGCTGTCAGAAAACAAACAACAATGACCTCAGACCCAGACAAAACAAAGCAAAAGCTCCCAAGGGAGCTTAGAGGGTTGCAGGGTATTACCAGGGTTAGGGTTGGGCATGCCTTCCCTTTTCACTTGTCCAAGCCTCACGGTGAGCGCACTTCATAAAGAGAGACCCCATCTTCTCCCGGTTCTACCCCTATCCCTGCAGCTCTACCTTGCTCTCATTCTCTTCTGCTAAACAATACTGTGATGGATTGTAGAAGGTACTTAGCTGAATCACCGACTTTAGAGAGAGAAAGGGCCAATTAGGTCATCAAGCCCATCTCTCTCCCGAGGAGAGGCAGAAAATAGGAGACAACAATAAACAATTTTATTGGGATATTAATTTAGGCGCCTGAAGACCTTGACTTGTGTCTCTTAATATAATCCAGCGGATTTTTTTCCCTTTCCTGCTAATGTAATAACAGGGCCATTTTGTGGGCAGTTGGTTTGCCTGATGGCTTTCGCTTTCCTCTCTCCTTTTTTTCCCCACGGAAGGTCCAGATGGAGTTTCGGAAGAGCTGGGAGCGCTGGAGGCTGGAGCACTTGAGCATCCAGAGGGACAGTAGCATGAAACCCCTCAAGTGTCCCACCAGCAGCGTCAGCAGCGGGGCCACCGTGGGCAGCAGCGTATATGCGGCCACCTGCCAGACTTCCTGCAGCTGAGCCCCAGTGCTGCGCCTTCCTGTGGTCCTTGCTGCTGGCTAGGTGTCCATCCCAGGTGGGAGAGACCCTCCCAGGGACAGGGATGGGGAGGGATACAGGCACACACACACACACACACACACACACACACACACACACACACACACACCTTGCTTTCCCTTCTCCAAACCTCTCAGACAGGCAAGTGGACAGTGCCTCCCGGGACTGTAGACACATGTTCTCCAAGGAGAACAGCCTGCTAATTTAATCACCCTGGCAGGAAGAGAGGAAGAAACGATTGCTGCTAAAACAAGGAGGACTCCTTCCTGTTAAAGCCACAAGACCCTTGGGGTTCCCTCGGACAGAACAGCAAATCAGCCCCGGACTCCTACTCAAGGGCACTTGCTGGTTAGTGGGGTTGGGACTTGAGAGAGGAGCGCTCCCACAAGAGACCCACGGTTCTAACCTCGGCCAACACAGAGCTTGGCAAGGTGAGCGGCTGCTGCTTTTTGTCTGCCTGGGGTTGCCACCTACGTCAGCCTCCTCGTGAAAGAAGAGAGGCTTGCTCCATGCTCCTGGGTTGCTGGCATTCCCTCGTCCACCTGTTCGTCTCACCATCCATCTTGCCTTGGGACCGGGGGCTTTCTTAGAGCTACAACCGGCAGCTCTCTCTGGAAGTGGCTGTGAGTGATGTTTAGGATAAATACCAAGGAGATGCTTAGAGGTCACTGTTGCTGGTGCCCGCTTCTCACCCAACCCTTTAAGTCACTTTGCTCTCAGCTTCTGATGTGCCTAGTGGCAAGTCATATGGTGAGGAGCCCAGACGTAGGATGTGAGGTTAAGAAGCTCAAATGCCCTCCTCTCAGGTTCATGTGGAGTCACATAAGGAATGTCCCCCTAGGAGTGTTGATGACATGAATCTAGATGAGCAAGATATCCATTGCCTCCATCCCTCCACCATATCTGTGACCAGATTCCATGTCTTGGATGGGAATTGGGGTACACCCTCTGAGACCAATAGCTCCTGACATTGCTAAGATGGCAGGCTCCCCCGACTTTGAAATCCTCGCACTTTGAACACATATATACACTTATATGTGTATGCATGTATATACATATATATGTATATATTCACTTTATCCCTTCCCCTTTATTGCGGTGGCTGTTGTGTCTATACCGACATACAATTCTGATTTCTCCCACCCGATGGAAGAACTAAATCATAGCTGTTGTTATGTTTGATGGGTGTGGGGGAAGTGATAGATTTTATCCTCCCCAGACTCCTCCCACACATAATGAGCAGCAGATAGGGCAGGACGGAGGAAAATCCGTCACTCCTACCCCCAGCCACCATGGTAAAGTTGTCAGGGGACAGCAGTGCAGAGACTCAGACCCAAGGACGGTCTCCCTGGGGAAGGCAATGAGTTCACAGAGGCCATGGAAGCTTCCAGAGCTGAAAAGAAGCCTAGTAGTCCAGACCTCCTTTGAGGTTGGGGTAAGGGTGGCTTCAGACGGAGTCTCATGTGAGGCTGATCTCTCCATCCTATGGAAAGTGGGGAACCCTCCCCAGTGCTTTCACTAGACACATTCTCCTGTGCCCCTTGGAGAGGCATGGGGCATGTATGAGAGATAATAATGGGCCATAAAATATACCAAGCAGAAAATTTCTTCTCCTTCAGCTTTGACCGAGTGTTGTGTCTATGTTAATAGGGAAGTGGAGCCTCAGGCTAGAGAAAAGCCATGCTGCCTTGCTACCTCCTTAACCAAGACACAGGGTTCAGTGGGGGAAGTGGGCCCAGGGTCGTCCACTCCCTAAGAACCAGGGCAGGCTTCCCATTGGGCACCTCTTTCTTGCTTTCCCTCTGAGAACAGTGGAAAGATAAGCGTGGGATAAACTGGGGACTTTGGAGAATCATTAATTACCTGTGAGTGAAAGGAAAAGACAGATTTAATCTGCCTGAAATAAGTTTTCCAGGGGAGAGATGCTGGAAGAGTGTAGGCAACTCAGTAGGAGCTGTTTATGTGGGGTCCTTCCCCCCTCTGGACTCTGGATTCCCGGCTTCTCCACACACCACAGTCCAAGATTTTCAGTGCAGGTTTCCCTTGCCAGACTTGTGATACTGAAGAAATGTTTGCCTTTCCTCAAATCCCCATTCTATTTATGTTTGTTTGAATGGCACCACACTTCCCCTGAGCTCTTTCCAAACTTGCCCAAGCTAAATATAGCTCCCCTAGGCCTGGGAATTATCCAATGCTATGTCCCCTGAAATTCCACTAGCTGTTTACATGCCTCATGCCATAAGTCTAAGCCTGGCATTGCTGAGAACTCTCTGGCTGCGCCTGACCCTGTCCTGGGGCTACTATTGCTGGCCTGTAGGGTGTGTATGTAGTGGCTTTGATGGAGATATACAGCCAGTGGGAGCATATGGTAGTTGTCGGTGGCTGCTGGCTTCAGCACTCTGGCCAGCTCCCGGGACCTTGGTAGGGGCCGAAGTCTCAAAGACTCTCATAGGCTACTTCAACCTTTGAACAGCTAAATCATTGAGCCTCACAAATCACTTACACTGCCTTCTCTTTCAAACGACTTTCTGGAAGGCAAGCGTGATTACAATTGCCCCAGCACTCGAGACGACATTAGTGGGGTTCTGGGATGCTTCATAGGCAGGAAAGATCCTGACAGTTCCTCCTGACCTTGATCTACAGAAGTGAGGAGAGAGGCTTGCAAAAAGGTTTGCTGGGGGCCACAGCACTAGCCTGCCAATGCAGACGGGCCTCTGGGCAGGCCAGGTGAACGCATGAATGGTCATTCAAGATGTGCCAAGTAAAAGTCCTCACGTGACCTGGGATTTATATTGAGGAAATGGAACAGCAAAGGTGAACCCACCACATGGCAAAGGTGTCGCCCCTGGCAAGAGGAATCAGGGTGTGTTTTACAGCATAATCTAGTATCTCCCTCATTCTTGTCTCAAAATTAAGAGATGAGGGGGTGGGGAGATGGGCCAGTGGTTAAGACTGTGAGTTGCTTCTGGAGAGGACCCAAGTTCCCAGCACCCACCCACATCATTAGGCTCATGATCTCTTATAACTTCAGCTCCAGGGTATCTGACACCCTCTTTTGACCTCCACTGGAACCTGCACACATGTGGACATGTGGCATACACACAACTCATGCAAACACATAATACACATATACACAAATGATAATAAAATCTTCAAAAACCAAGAGATGAAATGCATCTGAGCATATTGGGCTCAGTATTTGAGAGAGCACGGCATTCTTAATGACTGTCTTACAGTTTCTCAGATTCATCTTCTTGTTAGGAGGCATATGAAGGGACTGAACGAAACAAAATGGTGACCCAGAACTTCAACTTTCCCCCTCTAGTGCTCCCTGAATTTTGGAGCGCTCTCACAAATTGGACCACTGGATGGTACAGTGCCCCCAAAGGACAAATAGAGTCAGTTTTCATTCATGCCTGAGCTGGCTGTGTTTCAGCAATCCAAGGGAAAGAACACTATGTGTGCCTGTGTTTGTCCTGTGCATTGCAGTCCAAGGTGAGGAGACTCGGGAGCCAGGTTCAATCCTCCTCCGCCATGAAGGTCACAGGCCTGCACAGCCGGGGTGGGGTGGGTGTGCTGGCTAGGAATCTGGCAGATGCAGCCCCTCCATGCACAGGCAGGGCTTCCATTATCACTAATGCCTGCGACGTGCTCGGGGAAGGCAGAATATGTTTCAAAGCCTTATTTTCCATCTGCTGAATTGATTCTAATCTACAGGGCTGACTCTACTTTTGGCTCCTAGGAGGCAAACTTTTTTTTTCAATCCTCAAATAATAAAACACGAGGATTGATTTTGCTAAGACTGCTATGCAAAAATGGCATGTTAAATATTCAACAGAAAGCAAATTAGCATCAACTCTAATGTCACGGTGGGGTGGGTCCCCTCCTCAACCTTTTTTTTGATAGCGCAATCGAGTTTCCTTGTTGAGAAAAGGGGTCCAGCTTGAGAACCTTCTACCCACATTGCCATGCTCCCATGCTGTTGTCTGCAGCCTGAGCCATCTCTCTGGCCCTGGGGACAACCACATCAAGAAGAATTATTCAGGATCGGCGAGATGGCTCAGCTGGGCAAAGCACTTGCCTATAAGCCAGATGACTCGAGTTTGATCCTGGGTCCCACATGTTAGAGAGAACTGATTCCCAAAGTGGTCATCTGACCTCTACATGCATGAGATGGCATGCATATCCCCCAACACGTACCCATATAATAAATAAATAATTGTAATTTAAAAAAAATTAAAAGAATAATAGCAGTCACATTGCTTTGGAAAATATTTTCTTAAAGAAGTATGGGTAAGCAGTGTGCTTTTGGGAGCTTTCCTTGGTTCCATGGTATGTCTAGAGTATAGTTATTTCTGCTCTGCTGATGGGATGATTGGCGGGATGTTGTGAGACAATGCTCTTGTACACTGTAAAGATTTGTTGCTCATATTGGTTTAATAAAACACTGATTGGCCAGTAGCCAGGCAGGAAGTATAGGTGGGGTGACCAGACTAGGAGAATTCTGGAAAGATGAAAAGCAGAGACAAAGTCACCAGCCAGATGCAGAGGAAGCAAGATGAGATGCCTTACTGAGAAAAGGAACCAAGCCATGTGGCCAAACATAGATAAGAATTATGTGTTAATTTAAGTTGTAAGAGTTAGTTAATTATAAGCCTGTGCAATAGGCCAAACAATTTATAATTAACATAAGTCTCTGTGTGCTTATTTGGGGCTGAATGGGTGTGGGACCAGGCAGAGAAACTTCTGTCTCCAGCAGGAAACAGATAAGGTTCATTGTAAATTTGAACAGTAAATAAGACACCTTATTAGAAACAACAAAGTGCATCAACTTTGGTTTTGTTGTTAAGGACCTCACTATGTATTGCAGACCAGCCTAGAGTTTTCCAGTCTGAAGGAAAAACAAAAATAGAACAATATTTTAAAAATAAAATTTAGAGGACTTGAAAGGTCTATTAGATGTTGTGGTGGTTTGAATAAAAACGGCCCCCATAAGTCCATAGGAAGTGGTACTATTAGGAGGCGTGGCCTTTTATGGATTTGGTGTGGCTCACAGGCAACCCACAGCCACCACATTCTCCACATTCTCCTAAGATCCAGAGAGGGCAACATACCCCAATGAATGGAACACTCACTTGACAAAGATAAGACTAGATATCAGCCCCAGAATTGCAAACATCCCAAACTCAGATGCCTAGATGCCAGTGTAAAGACAGAACCAATCATAACCAGGACAAATATGTCTCCACTAGAGCCCAGCAACCCCACTACACCCCTGAGAAATGCATCGTAGCTGAGGCAGAAGGCAAGGAGGGCAAAATGGCCGTGATGAACAGGAGCCTCAGAGGCGGGAGTCTCAGCAATATAATCTAGGAGATGGAATAGAGAGACGCTCAGGCATTGCTGACATAGAGGAAATAGATACCTACGTCAAAGAAAGTGCTAGATCTAAAAAAGGGGGCACAAAACATCCAGGAAGTCTGGGACACTATGAAAAGACCAAATCTATGAATAATCAGAAGAGAGGAGGAAGGAGAAGAAACCCAGGTCAAAGGCACAGA